TTCTTTTTACCTCAAACATAAGACAGGTGCCCCGCTGGCATTCATCAAGTCACCCGGCAATGGTTTGACGTCATATGAGGCCTCTGACGTCATAAAACCTTATATTGCGGGACGGATATTTCGAGGCACTGTGGGCGGTGTCCATATACATAGAAGCAGACGCTATGTCACCGCGGCATTAACCCCTGGGGAGCATTTGGATGTGCGGCATGAAAGCTGCCGCGGAGTTGGGGTAAATAAATGTGCCGTATAAATATCCACCGGGAACTGATGAAGCCACTGACACAGTACGAGGCTGTTGAAACAGGACATCGGCATGAACAGATAAGTGATCTATGTATACCAGTAAAAACGATAACCCATCAACGACAAATAGTCATACTCTTTGCTCGGTAAAAATGCAAACAAAGTTTCCACATTGATAGAGTGGTTTAGCGTAGCAGTAAAACTGCACCACGTTTCGAAAGAGCGTAACGGAAGTAACCACGTCACTGTGCTATATTTCGTAAGAGTACTGAGAAAGTCATCATATAACGTCAAGTCCCACCAACAAAACACATTGATTGATTGACCGCACTGCACAACTGCAAGCAGCATGATGCACGTGCAATTGCAACAAGACAGAAGTGGCAAAAACAGCAGTGTCGGCCCTGCAGCAATCTCAAGGGCCCGCCGGCGGCTACAAAGTTCAAGTGCCTGCAAGGGGCCGGGTGCATTTGTATTTGACAGCCGTTACGAGTCCCAGACGAGCTCGTGTTTGCCAGTCGGCTCCAATTTACCTTATTTACACCTGGCGCTGTGTGTCAGTATATCTGTCTGTTAAGCCAGTAACAGCAGGTGCAAACTGTTACCAAACGAGGCCGGCTGTTCCATTTTGTAAATGCATGAGCTCACTTCACAGCTAGGAAGGACCGACTTCCTCAGTGGGAGTGAGCTGATTGAAAACGTCAAGCGGAGCGGGCGAGTGAGAAATTTACATACAGACCCGATACCAGAATATCCAACTGCATCAACTGACTATCTTTAATTTTTCCCCGCCCTCCTCCGCCTGTCTCATCGCCCTAGACGTGCCACGGACTACCTCCGCGACTCACAAACTCGGTATGCCCACACCAAGCTGGCATGACTGCCAGGACCCACGTTCACGTGTTCAGGGGACATAGGACGCAGAGCGGCAGCCGTCAGCCGAATTGAGGCGTCCATTTGTCGCCATGATAGCACGAACACACGCAGTCGACGGGTCGGAGGGAGGGGCTCCGCATGCCAAACTCGGTCCGGGGGGGGGGGGGGGGGACACTGCCTAGCGGTGACCCGTATGAGCCCCAGGAACGGGGGCTGGGGGTAGAGCGAGGTGTGCAGGTGCACGATGGACGGGTGAGGCGACATTTCGAGCGATGGTGTAATAGGGCAGAGGTCACAGAGCCCGTATGAGGTCTATGGAGCGACGTCAACAAAAGGCGTACAGTAAAGCGGGAGCCTAGAATGAACAAAGCGGAACGGGTAGAGTACGCTTCATCTCATGCAATTACAATGCAGACTTGGCAAGATCCAACTCAAGGAAGAACCAGGAGACTTGCAAAGTGTCGCAAGGCTAAGCCACTGGTAAAAGTACGTAATTATTTACAAATAAAACTATATATCAAGCTGGGATCCCCTCCGATCCTGCAGCAAATCGAACATCAATTAGTATCTAGCGCGACATCAATCAAAACCTAGTCAAGTAGTCAGGCAGTCACGCTGCGAATTCCAAGAGCCACAGCCCCCGTCACGGCCACAGTCACAGACGTCACGGCCAAATGTACCGTCACGTTCCGTCTCACGGCCACCGCTCGTGACGGCCCGCTGCCAGCTGCACCGATCGAATCGATTGTCGAGGCAGGTCGGCGGTGGCGCATTACGATTTCAGTACCACATTCGCCCCACCGTTCGTAAGGCGGTCACCAACAAACTGGTGCAACATGCCGACCAACTGACGGTAGCGCGAGGCTCGTGCAGGGACAGCTACGGCTCGAATCGGAGATATAGCCAGTGTGGGGTCGAATTACAAGTGTGTACGAGTGTGTATGAGTGCATGTATCAAAGGATGGTTGAAATAGGCCCATCTAAAGAAGCTAAAGCACTTAATAATCAATAATCATACCCAACTTTGATTCTGGTCACGTCTGGCATGAATTATGGGCTAATGAAACCAAGCGTATTCACAGTATACTTCAAGAGCACAAGAACTCTCCCATCAACTATCATCGTGTCTGCGGCCGGCGACACTCCCGGAGTTGTCTGTGGCCCTGCGGCAGTTGTCGTCCTCCCGTGCGGTGGGACATGACGGTGTGCCACTGTTTGCTATTCGCCAGTGTTTTCCTGTGATTGGACCCCACATTCTCCATCTAGTCAATGCCTCATTTTCTTTACGTACGTTTCCCTCATCTTGGAAACTTGCTTCTGTCGTGCCGCTTCATAAGGCTGGTTCCCGTGACAGCGCTGTTAATTTTAGACCTATATCAATTTTACCAGTGTTATCGAAAGTATGTGAAAAGGTGGTTTGCAATCAGCTCGCTTCTTATCTTGATACGACCTCTATTTTATCACCATCTCAGTATGCGTACCGCCGATATCACTCAACGGAAGATGCTCTCACCGACGCTGTCGAGTGGGTGACGCGCCGCGTCGACAGGGGTCACATTGTTGCCATCACGTCAGTGGACCTCAGTCGCGCCTTTGATAGTGTTGACCATGGTATTTTATTGTCCAAGTTGAGCTGGTACGGTGTTGACCCCGGGTGGTTCGCGAGTTACCTCGGTGGCCGGCGGCAGGTGGTGAGAGGCGGCTCCCTATCCCTTCCTATGTCCCATGGCGTTCCGCAGGGCTCCCTGGTCGGCCCAATCCTCTTCAGCATCTTCACAAATGACCTACCTTCCTACCTTCCTCATGGACGGCTCATTTCCTATGCAGACGATACCCAACTCCTTGATTCCGCTCTTCCCACTGACTTACCTGTCCTTAAAAAACAACAGGAAGACACCTTGCTCGCTGTCCAGTCCTATTACACATCCAATTCCTTGAAAATGAATCCTAGTAAGACCACCCTGCTTCTTGTGGGTACTGGCCAGAACCTCAAGAAAACCTCATCCTTTTCCCTTACCATATCCGGTCACACACTACAACCATCCCCTTTTGTGAAGATGCTGGGAGTGACGGTCGACTCAACCCTATCCTGGGAAAAGCACATTTCAAATGTTGTCAAAAAGTGCAATTCCATCCTTCTATGTTTGTATAAAACTCGTCATCATCTTACCCCCGAGACCCGTAAGCTCCTTATCCAGTGCCATGTTTTCCCCCACATCCTTTACTGCCTCTCCGTCTGGGGCGGGGCCGCTCGCTGTCATTTACATAAGGTGCAGAAGATCCTGAATTTTGGTGCTAGGGTCGTCTCCGGGGCGCCGGTTTCTGAACATATTTCACCGGTGTTGAGAGCCCTCGGCTGGCATGACATTGCTGATCTTGTCGTCCACCATGACTGCTCCACTGTGTTCAGGGCGCTGAGTGACCCCTGCGCTCCGGAGGCGATCCGCTCCCTATTCACTCGGCGAGCCGCTGTGTCGCAGCGCTCAACGCGGGCAACGTGTGCCGGTGTACTGGAGCTGCCGGCTTACCGGCTGTCTATGTCGCGCCGGGCCTTGTCGTACCGAGCGGCCTCGTCCTGGAATCGCCTGCCGCCTGCCACCACCGGCTCTCGAACTAGAGCGGAGTTTCTACGACTTTTAAACTCGACATGTGACTAGCGTTTTGGTATTTTAGTACAATGTGTATGCGTGTGTGTGCTTGTGTTTTATATGTTTTTACTATTGTCATTGACTAGAAGCTGACACTAATCCATCATTGGAATGCTTCGCTAATACAATATACATATACATATACATATCGACTCAACATCAAGCGTCCCTAATGTGGCGAGCGTCCTCTGCACCGCCCACCGTCCGTTTCACAATCAGTGCCCGGGCGCCGGGGCCGATAACGTTGTCAGGGGCAGCGTCCGCGTCCCCGGGCGACGGGCGTCGCGACCACGCGGTGCCACTGTGGCAACAAGCCGACAACGAGCGGCGTGGTGGGGGCGGTGGGAGGAGGTGGGTGGGTGACGGTGGGAGAGTGGGTGGGGGAGGGGTGGCAGAGGATGTGGGGCTGAGGATGAAGAGCGACAGGCAGAGGGTGGTACCGGTTGATGACGGATGGCCGAGAACGGAGGGCGGAGGCCGACAACAGCTGTGGTCGACAGCAGACAGCGAATAGGTCAGAGTATGAGTCAATACAGTACCGGGGACGCAGCTCCGTATCAGCAACAGGCTAACAGAGTTGAGGATGTGGCAAAAGAGCAAAGCAGCAAACTAAGCCAGGCCAATGTAATCAAAGTAGACTTAGAAGAACCGACACACGATGCAAAAAAAGCCAGCGCTTCAGGCGATAGCCAGCGAGAGCAGAGAGCAGAGAGCGGCGGACGCTGTTCAGATGAAAAACGGCAGCAGATAACTAGCGGAAATAAGCGAGTGGAGACGCGATAGAGCTGAATGGACTCCGCCTTCAGCTGTGAACGATAAGAGCCGGCGGCGACCCGTCCCGGGCGCACAGACAGGCGATGAGAGGGAGATCGGGACGGGCAGCAGCCGGGGAAGATGAACGCGGCCCAGGGGACGCTCAGAAGATGAGTCGGGCTGATCTACGGCAGATTCCGCAGACGATACCTCTCGTAAAGAACGAACGCTCTCGGAGAACAAAGCCTCGAAGACAAACGAAAATCCAATAATGTCTCAAATACGGAAGTAATGGCACGTCTAGCATCGCAAAGAATACAAAATGAATGAGCTGTCAATGTGCAATAACTGGAGACTGGTCTGCTATTACAGTTTCAGCGATTGAGACGTAGGGACTATCCACTTCCTTTACCCTATCACATGCACCCCACCCCACGCCACGAACAACACCCCTAGCCAAGGCACCCATCGACTCACTTCTTTCCGTTCCACTCCAGTGTGCCCTCGAACTTGTTGAGGTTATTGTTGGGCGGCTCGCAGTTGATCTTGCCGTCGAACTTGCCCAGTAGCGTTTCATCCTGGCCGAGCTCGGCTGTGGCTGGTAGAGCCTGGCGACACTTGAGGTTCGTCTCACTGGCGGCAGAAAAAGGGGCACGGCAGTCAGCGAGTGCCAGCTTTACGGGGCGGCAAAACACTGAGAACAAGGGGGTACGCAACAGTCGCAGAAAAACGGTCGGGGCGCACAGGAGCGAAAACTGGGAAATGGATAACCATTAACCTGCGTTGAAATAATTGCACGTTGGAGCAAAACTTCTGGATAATATGTAATACGATAATTCGTAATTCGTAATTCGTAACAATAATTCGTAATGCACTGCCAAGAGTAACAAAAAAATGTTTCGATAGCGAAGAATACGTTTGAAGAAAAGATAATGAATAATTAAAAGAGGTTGCGGGTAAGTATCATTTAATTCCCCTAGCTATTTCCTTCATGGGCCAACAATGACGAGCTCAAATGTTAACCAATTCTGACATCCAACAAGACGCATTCCATCACACTAATCATACGCGACCCAATATCCTGATGGCAGCATCTAGCAGCACACATTCTCCAATACACCCATCACCTAACATCAGGGGAGACACAAATAACTATCCGCTTTACGTAACCACACGCGTGATGCACGGCCGATGGGAAGGCATCAGCTGACACAGCCGGGGCACAATGTGCACACCTGATTATCTAGGGCATACATTAGGCGCCCCGGCTGCGCTATTTTCCTAGAGCGAGGGCCACAAAAAGAGTGATGAGCAAAGACGCGCTGCTGGTGTGCGCGAATCGTTAATCGTTATTTTTTATATATAAGCATCGTACATTTTCACAAGGGCTGTATGTAGATAGGCATAATGAGGTCAGGGCAGCGGAAAAGTCTCAAGGCAGGGCAGCGGGAAAGCCACTCCCTCTCAGGTTAAAGGTAGTGTGCCAGCTTTCCTGGACCGTATGGAGTTAATGGCCCAGATAAGGAGAACCGGATTTTTAGAACTTATCCATACCTTCAAAACTCATGGAAACGTCTTAAATTCTTCAAATTTTGAGTACCCCAGTGCGAAATTCGCCCCGACGGGTTGTCGGTCGTACCCCAACCACATTTCACACCACTATGAACAATAAATGCACACACTGAAATCGCTATTACCGATATGCTCATCCAATCAAGTTTCGATAAACCCGTTCATCATCATCTCCTGCGGTTTCGAACACGCCTGTTAGGTGGTGCGGTAGACCGCGCCCAAAGCCAGGGCCCCGGTAACGTGAGGTAGCCGAGTCGGGGCAGCGTGCGCTGACCCAAGCCGGGGCCGCGCGTCCTCCCGGTGTCATGTGATAGCCCGGGGCTGCCCGCGGGGATGCGGTATACCGCGCCCAAAGCTGCGGCCCCGGCTTGGGTCAGCGCACGCTGCCCCGACTCGGCTACCTCACGTTACCGGGGCCCTGGCTTTGGGCGTGGCTTCTGCTCATACTTTGTGGTGCGGTGGTGGTGCGTCGGGCCGCGCGCTCTGACTTCGGCCAAGAAAAATGCGTCAGCTGATCACTGTCATTTCTGCCACTTGCGTGTGGTGAAATGGGGTCATAACTTAAGAGACGGCTTTTTCATATCAATTATTTTACATAAAATCATATTTCAAACCATAAATAATGTTCGACAGCCAAATAAAAGAAACAATACCAATACAGGCTTACAGTTTAAATTCGACATTGTGTTGTCTACGATTAGACAGCTGATAACTCATTCCCGTACGTCGTAACTCTATAATGACCTTTGCTTATTGTCAAATGTGCGCCGCATTCGCGATTGTTGCCGACGCCTGTTTGCAGGTCAGCCCACTATAGTTGTTATACATATCGAAAAACCGATAAACTTTTAGGCGAAAAAGGCACTATTCCAGGCCCATTTTTGATTTTCTTTGCGATATTAGGTAAAAACAGAAGCTTCTTATCCTAGGAAAAATAAAATGGGAAATCTTTCAAAGGTGGCACACTACCTTTAAACTGTAGTTGAAGAATAAAACAAATAGTGATTTTCTAAATTTGTGGCTTCAAAGCGAGGTGCCACATATTCTTCTGACAATTATCCAACCTCTATAAGAAACTCATGACAAGTACCCTTTATCATCGACACATGTAAAGCCTCGACCACACAAGGACGCCATCCTGTGTTCCCACCCTTCTCCAGCTCCGGTCCTGCGTGACCTCAATGAGCGCAGATTGTTCCATCCCTGCCGTCCAATCGACCCGGCCCTCGGGGCTGGTGGTTAATGCCGGATCCGTGTGTCGGCTGGGTGTGGGCGGCGGAGGCGTAATTCCTCCTCTTTACGCCTAACCTGCCTCCTCCCACCACATCTACGGATCTCCTCCCATCCGCAGTACCTTTGATCACTCCCATCCTCCCTTTCTCACTCGCCCGTCTCGCCGAACAGTCTTGATAAAGCTTAGTTTAGATGAAGCTTGGAACCTCTCCCTCCCTCCCTTCGTCACCCTCACCCACGATCTCGATGTAGCCGACTACTCCTTCCATCCCCATTCCCCGTCTCTTACTCTCCCCTTTCCTCTCTCTCTCTCTCTCTCTCTCTCTCTCTCTCTCTCTCTCTCTCTCTCTCTCTCTCTCTCTCTCTCTCTCTCTCTCTCTCACCCTCCCTCCTCCTCTCTTCCTCACCCATCCAGCTCGGCAGTCTCGATGTAGCTGAGTCCGTTCGGCTCTGAAGTGGAGAGCAGCAGCAGGTCGGCAGCCACAAACTGATCGTTCTCCATACGGATGACATCGCCCACACGCACGTTGGACCACTGTTCACGGGTTAGTTTACCGTGCCGTAACACCAGAGAGACGCGGTTGTTCACTTGCCGGTCGTTCCGGTGACGTTGCTGTAAAAGAAGGAAAGAGTGAAGGGTCAGTCGGATGGGTCCTAGAGCTGACACGGCTCGAGTTCAGGACCGCTGGCCGGGGAGCACGGTGCCGGCGAGCCGGCGGCCAGTTGGCTGGAGTGGGAGGCGTGTGGCGGCTCGGTCCCCGCTTGGGAATGGACATTTCTGCGCATTTGTTTACTACAGTCAGTCATGGGTCAGTCCTGTCAGTGACAAGTCAGGACTGGCACACAGGGTCACCAAAACAGCAGTGGTGGATATATTGAGGCGGTGTAGCGTATGTAGATGCCGCTTGCTTCTCAGTTAATGCTAGCGGTTCACAAAAACAATACCCTATCTTTCGATAACCACTTTCGCCGGAATGGTCGCAACACTGGTAACTAAGTAGGACATCAAAAGAGTCCACAGTAATTACACGGCCAAAGGTCGGACCCAAGAGCCGCCTTATCGATACCTACTACTGGATGGCGCGACCAAATAAAACCAATATAATACCGCAGGGAGGGCACAAGCCATTTTAAAAGCGCAAAGTGCAGGCGTTTAAGATGTGCTACACAAGCTTAACTAAAGTCCCTACAGAAACTTTTCTTAGCGAGATACTTTCCAAGGCGGTATTGAGAGCTCAATATCACATAGATGAACTCCGGTCATTCATTTGGAGTTCAAGTTACCAAGAAACGACTGGTGGGGTCACTGTAACTTGATAAACGAGCAAAGTCAATTAAATACGAGGACGGCCCATCCACCCTCCCGCTGCTACCTAGCGTTTAGCCGACCCCTTTTACATAAATATCAGCGGTATGTTTGCGTTGGCGTATAATCAGGTGGACGATGTGCCTACTGCCAACTGGATCAGCCAGGAAGGGGTGCCCGGCTAGTGAAAATACCAGAGTGGTCAGCTTGGGCCTATGACATAAGGCATAAATTAACCTAGAGAATGATTTTCCGTACAACTGAGTGTGGAAGCTAGCTATGGTGGAAGCATTTGCACATATTATGCAGGCAATTATATATGCTAGGCGATGTAGTGCGTATCGTTATTTCTTCTCTAGCGATAAGGATCTTTACTTCCTATTTTATATAAGGAAGCGGATCAATTTTAGCCTCATTCCAAGACACAATTTCACTCAACGCTTAGCTCACGAGAATTAAATCGTACGACTGACATTACCTAATTATTATCAACGTTCGTTCCGTTTGAATGTGGCTTTTACCGCAAATCAGCTCATAACTGCTTGAATGAAGGCCTGTAGGCGCGCATAGTCGTCGGCAGCCTATGTAAAATGCAAGTTAAGTAACTTTCCAAAGTATATTATGAGCACTGAATGCACCTCGATACACGAGTTAAGTATCTAATACCTTAACCCGCGCGGGGCTGGGGGGGGGGTAAATTTTACCTCCCCCTCGCGATTTTTTGCAATATCTCAAAAACGGCGGCGCGCAGCGCCGCCAAACTTTCAGTACCTTTTCTTACATCAATTTGACACGTTCCCTGAAAATTTGAGCGAAATTCGTCGGATTTTTTTTGAGAAATTGACGTTTTAGTGACGTCATGTTCGCCATTTTCGCCTCAAAAACGGCAAAATTTCAAACGCCGCTAACATCTTCATTTTTAAAGGAATCAAGACGTAACAAAAAAGGTTATACGTAATTCTACTTTGTCTATCAAATGGCTATCTCGGTTTTTTGAAAATTTTGGATTTTGGCCCAAATTTTTTTCTTTCAAAAACTGACTTTTTTGGGAAAATAATTATAAAATCCAAAATTTTGAGTGTATCGAAAAAAAACCGGAATATATGTCAGAGAAGTGGTCTATGTGCACCTACATACCAATTTTTAGAAGAATCGGTTCAAAAATGTGGGAGTTATTCAAGATTTTATGACGTCACGACACACACAAATTTTGAAAAATGATTTTTTTGAAAGTTCTAGACCTCGTACGGAAACAAAAAGAGCACCATTCGATTCGCCGTGAAAAACTGCATCAGATAGACACCTTTTTAGGCCTTAACAACCAACTTCAAAATTTGACCTCACTTGACCTGACCTTGACCTGACCTCGACCTGAAATTCATCCAGAGGTGGTCCATATCACTTATTGAGTGTGCCTATTGAATTCTATGAGTAAAATGACCCATAAAACATGTGTCGCACATGTCCTTTTCTATATTTTGTTTTTTGGTGACCTGACCTGACCTGACCTTGACCTTGACCTCTGAATGATATTGTATGCAACGAATATTGTCTTGGTAGCCTAAGAACACGTTTTGGGCAATCAGTCTCAGTCGATGACTCCATTCTTCGGCAACTACGGTGCAAGGCCGATACTGTAGAAACTTGCAATTTGTACCCTTGACCTGACCTTGACCTTGACCTCAAACTTTAAATTAAGTACATGTTTTTAGTTGTTCGTGATGAGATCTTTCGATTGGCGTTTGATTTTTCCAAATCGGACCATTAGTTCGGGAGATAACAGGGGGGTAAAATTTACCCCCCAGCCCCGCGCGTTCGGCTGGAGACCCCAGCCCCGCGCGGGTTAAGATCCGATTAAAAATGCATTCTAAAAGCTGCGTCCAACACCACAACCAATTTCACATGGCAAAGTTTCACATCTTGACCAAGGCTTAGTGACCTAGTAAAATGTGTAGGTAAATATTTTAGCAATGACTCTCGAGTAGTAGGATTCAGCAGCCGACAGCGTTCAACAGACCCGTTTTCGATGGCCAGATATACGCCTGCCAGGCACAGAGTATTTGCTAGTTTCAGGAAGGATAATCATAACAAGACTATCATGTGACGCGACAGAACTCTGCCTGGAAATAGCGACGGAAATGATACGCAGCAAATCAGTATCTAGCAATGCAATGTTCGGTCAAGATGCACGCTATCAAGCCACATGCGAGTTCTGAATGGATACATATGCGCAATTCAATAGTACAACAGGTGTATAGTGTATACGCCTGATACATTTGGTAAACATATGCGTCATCTAGATAGTTCGCCGAATGGGATCGTTTACATTCAAAGCCAGTGGGGCAAATTTGTCACCACTTGTACATTCACCGTTCGTACGCAAGGCACATCGTGTTTATTTGTGTATAGGTGGCGAGGGTCAGGGCTGCGAGGTGTAGCTATACACATACAACCGGCTAAGCGAGCACTTGTGAAAACGGGTTATGAAATGAACACTTGTTCTGATAAGAGACAGGTTAATCGCTAGCCACCCAGGTATGCCCAAGCGTTTGCCCGATTCACCCACCACATGCTCCAAGCCACTTGATTGAGCTAGAAAACTGCCAACTTCCACTTTCGGTCGGGCACCTCTGTACTGATTGAAATCCTTTGGATCATAGCATCAGGTAATACGATATTGTGCGGTGAGCATGCTGGCCACATAACAGTCCAATAATTCTCTTCTGCAGGGCCATCCAATTGTCCCTTTCTGCAAGTTCTGTCTGTATGCCCTGGTGAGTACCACCCCTCTCCTCTCCACAGAAGCCAATCACACCACCCAATCAGCAGGTAAGGACCCGTGTCTGTTGGCCACTGGGTATAGCCCCTCCCCTCCGCTTTCTCCACAGACACAGGAGGATCTCATTATACGGAATCGATCAGGCCGATTGCTTCCGTCGCTGACAGCGTCTGGCCGTCTCATCGCGGTGCTCTCAGATTGTCCCATCACCTGGTCCCCAGACTAGCTAATTGTCTCATCGAGATGTTACAGTCTGTTGGTCCCGCCGCAGGGGAAATGTCTCCACGGTCCTGGCTTTAGAAGGCTCCGTCAGAGTGCATATCAGTTCACCACGCTAAACGCCCCTCTGTCGAGTCTCTACAGAGTTTTGCAAGATATCATTCACCCTCTGACATATCCCGTCATCTACTCCATTTATTGCGATTTGTTTTCTTCCGTTATAGCCTTTCCGTTGCGTCATCTTTGTCATCAGCGTTGTATGTTTGGAAGACGTTTGATCAGCGTCCTAGAACGTACACATCATTTCCTGTCCCTCACTTCCATCTCCCTCTCCTCCTTCCGCCCGAGTTTTATCGTCGCGCCCGTCGTTCGCCGTCGCGATCGACGACCGGCGGCGCCAATCGACGTTGATCCTTCGCTCCGTTCATCCTCTTCTTCCGCGTCTTTGTGCCGCCGGCGAAAACACGATCGCGCCGCGGCCGTCTCGATGGGCTGGAGATGGTCCGCGCCCGGCAGACGGCGGCCGGCCGTCCAAACACGGCCCATCGACCGGCGCGCGGGGTCAGACGGGCCGCCGACCGGCACCCCTCCACCCAGCTGCCAGGGCCAGTTCAACGCTCACAAAACGCGCCCCAGAGTGGCGCCCTCATATGGAAATTTCGCGCCCGGATGGTTTCAATTTTGGCCCAAAGAGCGATAGTTTTTGGGGTCGAGCGCGCCGCAGCGATAAAAACAGGGCAGCGAGAGCGGGGATTAGTGGGTCGGTGGTGATGACGGTCGCAAGTCGGAGAGAGCGCAGAGAGGGAGAGAGCAATGAGTGAGCGGGAACGGATCAGCACTATTAAATTATCAGAACCGATCAGATCTTCCGGCATGCTTCATGACAGCCGTTTCTGGCAAATTGATCCAATACCGAACGTGACTTCTGCTGACTGATTGTTCAATCAAATAAACACAAACCAACCATCGACCTACATGCTACCTGACAAAATATTTCATAGCCGCTAAAGCAGCATGGTTCTTCATGGTGTAGTGATTTAACATTTTTGACCATACATCAAACCAGCGCCTTCACTAGCGCTGGGTCAGCCATTTCTCCTCAGAGTGACTCACGCTCGGACAAAGCCTGACCTGGCAACGTCACAACAGTCATTAGCGTTTCCTACGCCCCAATGACGTCACAATAGACCCAATGACGTCACACAATGAGGTGGCGCGATGCGGTCCAGCCACCTCCACCTCAAGGACCGGTGACCTCAGCACCACCGGGCGCCTGAGGAATGTCCGCCCAGACCCTACCTTAAACAGGAAACTGGCCGCACCGTGAGACGCTAACGCACGTAGGTGTGTTACAGCTGCTGACTTCAGGAAAACGTGATCAGTCGATATGACTGTTTTGCACAAACCCGTTTTCAAGATCGAGACGCTTTTCAGCATTGCGGCGCCCACATGCACGCCCGAACGGAAATGCACATCGATTACAATTTAAGTTCACCTTCGCTTTTTAAAAAGAGTGGCCCGTGTCATAAAGTTGTCGATTTGCTTTCATAAAGTCTCGCGACTGGAAAAATTCCTAGAAGCGAGTCACGCTGACATTTCAGTGCGTCAGTGCACGACTCCAGACCGGTCTCCCTTCAGCCACGTGGACAGAATCACGCCGTCCACAAGTCCACCGCACGGACTGACCGATGACTCGCCATTCCGAGCGTCAAGAATCTCGGCGCATCGTATTCCAGACCACAGACTTACGAGAATGGCGTCAGTGAGAAATCCCGTATGCACATGCTATGCAGATGACTCGGTGACTAAAAAGACAGCATTTGACAATCTCAGCATTACCAGCATATCCCTCTGTTTGTGGTTCCGGTCAAATTGACCCCGCGGTCAGCCACAATGAGAGCTGGTCGGCTAGGTCAAGTGGACCGTCTAGCCCGGCCAGTGACGGGCACTTTCCACCCCACCTTGATAGCAAACGGCCGGAAAAACGACCGGGCGATAGTGTCGGGCCGCTCTCGAGAACACCGGCGAAGCGGATAAGGCCGACATACGGACCAGCGCTGCATGAAAATTGCCCGACAATCGCACAGAATTCGATCAGGAAACGATTCGGACACATATAAATGGCTCCCACGATCATACTGGCCTGCGATTGACCTTGAGGTGAGCCAATTAGACAAGCTTTTATAAGTACCATTGATGTCCTATCATTCATGCACCGTTTGAAATTGGCAGAGCGATGACAACAGAAATTGCTTTGGTCTATTGAGCTGCAATTGATGAGCGTGAAATAGCTGAACTGCGTAGTACTGAATACTGATATTACCTGCTACTTGTGAAGAAATGTCAGCAGACCATACATATAACCAAACTACAAAGGCAAACTGCTATAGCATTGCTCCTATAGACAACGCACAAAAAGGCTGAGAAAACCCGGCGGCAGCGTCCAGAATACTCCTGATATCGCGTGATCCCAGCGCAGCTCGATAACGACATCACTCGCTCAATCTCATATATCTGACCACGCACGCCGCGGGCTAGGTAAACGGCCCGCGCGCAGCTGTGCCAATATGCGAGGGCTATGGATGGGGTGGCCGGGGGATGAGCAGACGAGGATGTATTAGGACGGAGGGGCAGCGCGCCCCCTCGTCAATGAACATAGCAGATGGTGTCAGGTTGAGACAGAAACGTGCTCAGGAGGCTATGAGCGAGGGTAAAATCTAAAGGAAGGCATGTTCTGAACGTGTCAGAAATTACACAACGTAACAGCGTCGATTGCTCAACCATAAGCCAAACCTATGCCCGGAAAGGTTCCAGAGATCAGGTTCTGCGGGCAATGGCACGAATGACACTCAGACCGAGATAGAGGCAGCACTGTGACATTTTGTGGATCAGAGTAGCCAGGTCAGCAAGTCCTTTATTGCGACGTCAATTTGCTGATTTGACCACGGCTTTAGAAAGTGCTGTCGCTTCCATTTCTGGTAAGCAGACCGGCAACTATTTCGCAGAAAAGCGTCAACAACCTCCCCGCTCGTAGCGAGTGATGAATACCACTAGCAGTATTTCATTCTCCTCAGTTAGCGATACATCTTATGCCTACAGCGAAGCCCTTTTACAGCACTGCATTTCATGCTTCATCCGCGAAGTAAACAACTTTTTGTGAAAAACGACCAGTGTGAGAGAAAAATTGTGTAGAAAACGCCTAAAACTTGATTTGAAATAAATCATAACAATTACTCGGTTACCGTGACTTTTCACGCATCCGAATCCAGTAAGTCTAAATTACAAAGTCCATTCCTTATCCAGCTGACAGCTTCCTTGTCCCCAATCTTTCAATCAAGCATCATATGTCTATCAGAATGTATCCCTTTGTCTCGCTCTTTCTCTATGTAGTCTTCCACCCACTCGCACATTTACTCACTCTGTCATCAAGTCCCTCCTTCCTTCCCCAATTCCTCTCCCCTCTCTCACCAATCCCTCTCCTACTCACATAGTCATCGTAGGCGTCTTTGGCGGCGGTGACGCTCAGCACTCCCAGCAAGGGCAGCAGGGTGGTGATGGGCGTCAGAGAGCTGATGGGACCGATCAGCTGCAGCACCAGCAGGCACGCGAAGTAGAAGTTGGCCAGACGCTGGAACTGCTCGAACAGGTTCAGCGGCCAGAACGTCAGCACCGTGTACTTGTAGGTCTTGATGAAGTTGTTCTGTCGACAGGGGGAGAGAACAGACAAGCGTTGGGTCAGCGGGGCGGTTGACTTTCGGAGTTGTGAGAGATCCAAGAGTCAATGAAGATCATCATCAGTGACCCATCATCAGATGATGGGTTTGAAATAAGCATTGCTGGGGTCAATAAGAGCCATTCGATTACAGATGGGGGATATACGAATGAAACGGAAACTAACAACGTTGAGGACGAACACACTAGCACTGTTTGTTTAGCTACTGCTTCACGAAATTATGTCAATTGTATCACGATAAAGGTGGTCAGCTTGCCCCAACAATAACAGCATTGGTGGTGATTTGAATTCAAAGTCGTCCCGACTACAGTGATATCGACCCCTATTATCGATAATATTGGTCATAAGCTTCCCAATATAGCTAACAATGTCATAAATTCAGCTGTTTATCGCATTTGCCAATTCTCTGGCGCATTCGGTGTATAGCAAAAGCCGTATCGTAAAGGATTTATACCCGAATGCAATTGCCGTTAATGAGGCCAGTGGTTGCATCAGATCGTATTTTCTATGTATGCGTATTTAGTAGAATACATATATAATCTACGCTGAAAAATACTTCAAGAGGACTTTTCGATGCATATAAAATTAACCCGCGCCCCACTGGGGTCTGTGTATAACACGCCCTACTGGGGGGGGGGGGGGGGCTATTCATAGCCCCCCCTCCTAACTCCGAAACTACTGGGCCGATCGTCAAAATTCAAACGGCGTCTGATAGCCCCGGAAAAACTGTCGAGCGAAACCTAATTTCATTGACCTCGAGGTCACCGATGACGTCACAGGTCAGGTCAAAGTAAAAACTATTAGCATTTTGGCTTGTTCACATTTTGGGCTCTGGCCGCCGTCTTACAAGTCAGATCAGGCTCATTTTTGGTTTCCACACTCGTGAACAGATGCTCTAGATACCTTGAGGGTACCAAACTTGTACTTTGATTTTCAGGTCAGGGTCAGGTCATCACAGGTCACGGAAATATTATGTCATGCGTCGGTCACGTGACACATGTTTTATGGTCAATTTCGGCCATAGATTTCGAATTTGATGTCGTCTGTGTCATTCGAGGTCATTTTGAGTCGAATTTAGCTTAGGTCAGGTCACTTTCAGGTCAAAAAAGGTCAAATTTTAAAGTTAAAATTTTTCAACAAAAAAGGTGTCTATTGGATGCAGTTTGAGCTCAGGAACACGATGGTGCCATTTATATTGGTGTACGATGTCAAATACGTACTGAAAAATTGATTTGAAAAATTAATAATTGTGAATTTTTTGCAATAATGCGTATAACTTGGCCATTTTTGATGATATTTAGCTAAAACTTGCTAGAGTTAGTCATAATCATGCCTTCTGTCACATATATTCCGGTTTTTTCGAAAAGTCAAAAACTTTTTGAAAAAAAATATAAAAATATAAATTTTGAATATTATTATATAAAATTTTCGAAATGTTCAAAATTTTGAAAATCCGAGATAGCAGTTTGATAGCGCGGTCAATTCTAAGTCCTTTCATGCAAAGAAATTGGATCTAGCTTAAAAACTGAGCTCTTGGGAGCGATTGCCGTGGTTCAATGTTTTGCGTCGAAATCGGACGAACATGACGTCACTCTGACGTCATTTCCGGCCGACCTATAGTAGGTACGAAGTTCAAATTTTGACACAAGGTGTCAAATTGATGCAGCTTAAGGTACTGAAAGTTTGGCGTCGATCCATCAAGCAGTTTGAAAGTTATTGCAGAAAAACGGGAGGGGGGGCTATAAATAGCCCCCCCCCCCAGTGGGGCGCGGGTTAACGCCTGAAGGAACTCAACGCCGTGCGCAGTGACAGTCGCTATAAGACGCACGATCTACGGCATACTGACGAACCCAACTATCTACTCTTCAGCTAAATTCAAACCACGTTCCCATCCGGCACAGTAAACATATTTCTCCCTCTCGAGGAATCCACACCGACTCTCATCAAACACCACACGCGTCGAGAAACGCATCGGAATTCATAGACCTGTCCCCGGTAATTTGACCCTCGCTGACAGTTGGAAGACTATTCGGGGACGTCCGCCCGTAGTATCCGTGGTCCGTGTATTTTCAGAGTCGCAAACCCATGCCTGGCGAGTTTGCCGAGTCCACACTGACACGGTCGGTTTTCCGCCGGCCGTTTCCTCAGACGAGAGGCCACCTACGGCGAGGTCAGAGTGTTTGCTCGGCTCATTCTGTTCCGGACGCCGCCGCCGATAACACCTCCAATCGGCATCGGTTCCCAATCGTCGCGAGGCGGCCATTTTGTCGGAAATCCGCCAAGAAATCCTACCGCTAAAATATTGAGGGCCAGCGACACGTGAGTGACCAGTGGTCACGGACATAGCGGAAATCAGAAACGGACCGGCCGGCTGACCGACCATGGGACGGGGAGGGAGGTCCTGAACCACACCGATGGGACGGGAGGAAGGTCCAGGACTGGCCGGCAGACCACTGATGGGATGGGGACCGGAGAGAGGTCCTAGATCGGGTATTGAGGGGACCGATGGGATAGGAATGGGAAGATGATCCTAAAAAACAGTCAGCGGTCCGTCGATAGGATAAATACAAGAGGGAGGAAGATGAACCCTGGCCCAGTGCATTGGAGGCGAAGTACGTGTTTCAAACTAAGAGTCTGAAAAAGCTTTCACCTATTCGCTTTTGGCGAAATGAAAAGTAAAAACCTCCCATACCTACTCCTGTCACATCAGGCGTCGCCTAGTGAGGGCCTAATTGAATTAACCTTATCTGTTAGATTAAAAAGGCTTTGCCATGCGAACCGAAAACGAATTTTGCCTACCCACATGTAAGCGAAAAAAGAAGGGATGAGACAATTTTTGGCAACTTATGGTTGAAATATCCATACATCACTAACAAAGGCACAAATGAGCTGTTATGACAACTGCTGCTTGTGCGTGAGACGCGTTCCACCGAATAAATAATTCCATGGTTCCTGACACATCTAGCCGAAACGGATTCCCCGAACGCGAAACGCCAATGCCACCTAGCTTTTCGCAGCGACCCCTCGACCATAACGGGGTGCAGCAAAACGCATTAGCAGATCAGCCGTAACACAAATGTCACAGGGGTCAAGGCCCCCGCCACGGTGACCCCAGCAACGATTCTCTTTGGACGATCAATTGAACTATCGAATTCGAGACGGTCAAACAAGCATCTATTTGTTCGACGGTAAAGTCAGTAAGTGATATGTACCCCGTGTACATAATCCAATTTCCCGAAGCCTCACATATGAGAGAACGTTTTAATTGAAAATAGCTATTGTCCAATACTCACCGCATACTGAAACTGCGAGTTGTATTCCAGGTCATTGGCCCGTATCCGTCGCTCCGTTTCTGGAACACAGAGGGAACTACGTCAAGGAGGAAGACTACGTCAAGGGGCAATCGCAACTGTGTTATAATGCCGGCACATGCCACACGGCTGCTACAGACGTCAATTCAAACCCGCGGGCGTGATCTAGCACACATCAGCATTCAGCTATACCGGTCTCATACGACAGGATCAATGGTTTTATGAATACGAATGATGCAATGCTCAAACAAAGCGAGCCTGAGGCGTCACGTTTCTTAATCAAAATTCGAGAGCAGAGGGAATGGCATTTAAAGGAGCCCAATATTCTAGACATCGAGCAGTCACATAAACGAACTGCTAATAATGAAAATTACACCGGTTTGTAGCATTTTGTTGGTATTTCTCTGTTCTACTGGCGCTTTACGTAGCGTGAAAGTATCCCGTTAGAACAACAAAGCGCCGCGAGTGCCGTGCGCCCTTTCGCCTGCCACCTTCCTGTATAGCCACCAAACACGCCCGTTTCCGGCCCCATTCACAGAAGTGTGGTCTCTCACGGGCTGTCTGACGTTTGTTGCCGCGAGCCGGGCCTCGCACCAGCACTGACGGCAGCGGCGGCGGCATGGCGGGGGCGGGGGCGGGGGCGAGGACGGCCGTTCGTGCCACAGCCCGAAGCAGACTGATGCGGCGGGCGACAGTTGTGATGTTTCCGATTGATCCGACTGGATGGACGGCACCCTCACGCCATCGAAGGACGTAAAATATCGATAGCACGACACATCACGGTTCACCACGGCACGGCTCGCCACGGCACAGCACGGTTGATCGCGGCACGGCACGGCGGGGCGTGGCAAGGTACGGTACGCCTCAAAAGTTAGAGAGTGCGGACTTATGAACCTGCGAGAATGCGCAATCACTGAACCGAGTTTTGTTTTTGGTCGTCTTCGCACCAGAAAATGTTACGGTGCAGAAAGTTGGCTTGTTGACGGTGTGGTGGCGGCTGCGCCTGAACGCCTCTCAATGCACATTTAAATCAAAGCGGTCTTACAACTTTTGACGCTTATGAGTTAACGCGAAAGCTTCGCAACAAGCAGCATATTTTCACCCAGTGTCACGCAAATAGCTGCATTTCCATCAAAGTAACGAATAACGAGCCTTGCGAATAACAACTTAAGCGAGCCTTATCATAATGAGCCGGCGTGTTATCACTAATTCCGGTTTCTAAGAGGGTAAATTATGAGACATTTGGGAGTTAAACGTTCCAAGATTATCACGGGTCTTCTTGCGAAGGCTTTTCCGAACAACAAAATAACTATATAGTTATAGCATTGATATCTCTACGCACTTCAAATGTGAGTGCAACGCAACCGATTGAACTACATGCAGTTCATAGACATTGCTGTTTTTGTGTTTGTTCACTATGAAACAAATAATTCAGCAAAACCTGCATCACTCTTCCCCTACCAAACCGCCTGATAAACTGTACTTTAGCTAGCTATTTTCACGGATCTAAGAAATAAAGGCGGCAATAGCATAACACCCATCATGCTCCTCAATGCGCCTTTTCAGCCACTCGCCGTGAACAGCTATTTTGAGATTGGGCCTTGGACGTCCCAGTTTCCACAAATAAGTTCTTCAGCAACAGAAGCGAGTTAAATTATTTATCCAGCTCTCAGAGGCAGTTACAAATTGTCGACTGGCTGTGCCGAGAACTACTTTGGAGTCTGTGGGCGAATACGTTTCGACCTACCTCAAGGCAGTCACACATCTTCGTATTACATTGCTTTCTTAGTTTCTTCCAAAGTAGCGCTGGATAAACTATACGATTCCCATTCGGTCAACCTAGGAATAATAGCCAAACTGAAATTGATCGGCTGGACAGTTTCGTGATATTAATGCTTTGCTATGAATGCAATGCCATATTATTCCGATGCACCTTGCACTTCGATAATCATTCACAATGGATATCCTCTTTGAAAATATGGCGTTCAGACACCTAAAGAACGTCAGACCTAATGAAATTACCTACATGCAAAACGCACGCACTGACAATCACTGCATCAAACACGTAAGAACCAGGAAGTGTGAACAAGGGTACGAGCAAGGGTAAGAGTTCAAAACTACAATAAGTTTAAGAAGAGTTAATAAACAAGTTATTAGTGAATAAACATGCATGTTATAAGCAACAAACAAAACCAAAACAAATGGAGACCACCACACCGGGACAGGTGACGACAAATCCTACTGGTTTTCCAGCGTCGCACATAATGACGGAAGCCATAATGCCTCGCCAAAGGTTTAGCTTTTGCGGATACAATTCCTAGCAGGATGTCACTGATCCTGTCAGAGTAGTGAGATGAACAGAGCCGTCCTAGAAGCAATAACCGCAGCTGTAGGTGCGGAATGACATATATATTTTATTAGCTGTTCTTGGAGACGACAGTCAGTACAAATAGGGACAAATGGAGTCAATTCGCGTTCAAAGAGTGAGAAAAACAAAACATTTCAGTGTAGATGACATGTGAACATTGCTATTTCTGAAACAAATCATGACGTTTTTGAGGAGTCATGGGGAGCTGTGGTTGAATCATGTACAATCAAATTATTTCTTTTTTTCAATGTTTTCCTAAACTCTAGGTACATTGGTAGATAGGTACTTCTATACAGCTATCAATGTTATCGCGATGGACTTGAGCACAAGGACGTTAACGATTTGTTAACAAAGACTAAAGCAATTGTACCAAATATGAGAAATGATAGTGCAGCGAGAACAATTAATATAACAGCATAGATAACATGAATCTGGATTGGACACGAAATCATCCTGATGCAGAATGGGGCCGAAATTTTCGGAATGGGGAATAGACTATTTTTCTGTCAAAACAAGTCAAACAAAACAAGTTCAAGTGCCGTTTGGGCTGCCGCTTGAATGGCAATACCTTTGCTCCGACGTTTTGATGTTTTTTTGCTCATATTTCTTTAGAAATAAATAAAAACGGGTTTTATTAGAACCGTATATTGCAACATTGACAAGTGGTTCATTAGCTATGCAGTGGTTACAAGACGCCACAACGAGTGGAGATAGGGCGAAATACGCAGACAACATAAAACATTAATGGCAAATGAGCATGTTCGCCTCACGCCTGAAAGGGTACGCTCGCCGTTTTCCGCCCCCTCCAAACTGTGACACGTCGAGTACGTGCATATAGTAGCGCCGAGCAACGCAGGTGGACTTGAATCCTCCCGACAGCCGGGTGCCGCTCAACAGTGGCGGTCGTTGCAGTGCTCGCACTCCGCCATTGACCGGTTCGGAGCCGGTGGACATCCACCGCAGGAACCGTCCTGTCGCTGTCAGTGATAGCTGGTGATAGCAGTGATCCCATCAGCTGTCTGTGCCTTCCGGCCAGCCATGCCTGGATGGTGCGGGCCCTCGTGTGCGGCTGCGTCTCCGTGGGCCGTCTAGAGGTCCACCGGGACTCGATTCTGGTCGACATCGCTCGTTTTCCTGGCAATGACATCGACTCTCACATCGCACTCCAGGCCGCAGCGCGAGGACACCCATGCTGAGGTGGCCGGCTGACAGTCCTCGGAGAATCCTTCAGCTCAGCAGGGGGCTCTGGACGGCTGATCTGTAGCGGAGAGAGGCGGCGAAGGCGGATTGGGAGTCGCTTAGGCAGAAGGCTGTTTAGAGAACAGTTGTCTTTGGTTCATGCTACATGTCGAAGGAGCAATGAACAGGATAGTCTGTTTTTCGTCCTTGGGCTTCCTACCTTACCACCATACAGGCGTCCCAGCCGCCCTAGCCACTCCACGAAGCTGTTCGCTTCGGGTCCTCTGAAATCACATCTACGGTTGAATCTAGTCAATCGTATAAACAATCCTCTTTCTCGATACCACTGGGCAGTGGGCGGGCAACTGAGCAGCCGACCAGCCAGTAGTGGGTGACGGTCTTCCCTCGTCCGAGTCCTCGCACTCTGGGCACGCGTCGTCTTCCTACAGCTCGATGCAGTGATTGTAAGCTCCTAGCAGCGTCCAGTAGCCGTTGGAAAGTCTAGCAGCTCCGACGTTCTTCTGGCGTAGAGGGCAAGAAGTTCACCCGGCGTGAGCCATTTTAGAGTAGTTAACGGGTCTTCTGTAGAGCCGTTTATACCAGTGCCTATGAGCGTGCGCCTGAGTCTGTATCTCGCCGACCGCAAAGCGCAAAAGCCTAACTCTGTACATGGCTCACTCTGGCGCTCGCTCGTTTGTTGCCCCAAAAGGCGTCTTGGTGTTACTATGGTTCCAGGAACCCTGTAGCTGTATCGGTGAACTTGCAGTGCTGACGACCCATGGTGCCTCGGCTCGCTGATTAGTACTGTATCCAATTTACGGCGCCAAAATTTCATCAGTTTTCTTGAAATTGTTAACTTTCGTTTCAAAGCATAGTTACTAGGTACCAAAGTAAGTCTTCCTCAAATTGACGGCCTCAGCTGGGCACCATAGAGGTGGACGCTTGGCTACGATTATGTGAGCATTAGGCATTTTTGTGTGACTGTGGCCTTTCCGAAGAGACGAGATTTTCAGCATTACAAGGCCGAGGGCACTGCAGCTCCTCTCTTGAACGAGAAGAGGGCAAAAAACATTTGAAGTCCGTCTATGCAACTTGGCTGCCCCGGAATGCTCCTGGTTGAGGTCTCGATCCTGTGTGGTAGAGTTTTCATTGGAATGGAGTCTTTTTTTGTCAGAAAAAAAAACGCGCTTGTCGCTTGTTGTTCGTCTTCTCCGCAGTAGCGCTTCTTATTCCTTGCTTTGCTGTTTGAATGGCTCTCCAGTCATCATTCCTTTACCGTGTTTCCTTTTGTAATGTAAGCCATAAGCTAAAAAGCGTGAAATTGTAAACGAAGCGCATATGCCTAAGTATCAATCACTTGAATTGATTGGAAAATATGTTGAATCGATTATGATCACAAAATAAAAGTAAACCACAAATACTTGTGCTCTGATTACTTTGCGAAATAATACGGTTTGAATTGAAATGTTTAAATAATGCATCGTCCAATGCAAGTTATGGTAAATTTTAGCAGATCGATCGCGCGGAAAACAAACAAAGGATCCTACTGATAAATTTTCGGCCCCATTCTGTATTTATCGGATTTCGTGTCCAATCCAGATTCATGTTATCTATGATAACAGTAAAAAAGCACGCAATCTTGTCATTCTCATAACAAAGGGGCGTGCCGTGCGGTGACTAAGCCCGAGGGGACGACCGTCACCCCCTCCCCGCCCGCTGGGCGCAGCCAACCAAACGCCGGCACAGACAACCTTGGCCACAGGGCGGACGGCTGGGAGCGTTGGAGCGACCCCCACCCATGCCTCCCCACCCCTCCTGCACGGCGCGGCGGCCGGAGCCATGGACGACCACGCCCCCCACGAGGCGGGCCGGGCCCCGCCGGGTCGGGGCGGCTGCACTGGTCCGCGCGGATGGCGCAAACGTTGGCCCCGAGACATAGAGAGGACCGGCTGGGTGAATAGGAGGCACCGTGACCGAGGTCAGGCGTGGAGACACTGAATACCGCCGCGCTGACGAGTCGAGCCGGCAAGTGAGCGGTGACGAGCGCCCGCCTACCTGGTGGGGGCGGCTCCTTGAGGCGGAACACCCGCCGCGCGCCGGCCAGGAGCCGCTCCTTGGCCGTAGCCGGCTGGCGAGTCAGCACCTCGGCGACCTCGGGGTCCTCCGAGCCGCGACGACACATCTCGATGGTCTCTCCGTTCCCCTCGGCGGGGGACGACTGGCCGCTCGCTGGCGAGCCAGACGTCTCCATGTCGTCTCCATCGTCCGCGGCAGCGGTGCCGGCGGCCATGACGACTGGGTGCTAATCGGCACAGCACACAGACACACGGCCACCACACGGCCACTCACTGGACCCGCCTCCGCCGCGCTGAGAGACCGCGCTATCCACAGCTACATCCGCCGCCCGGCGCCGCCCGCCGCCCCCGGGCAGCCTGTTGGCGGTCACTGGCCCTGCCGCGGCCGCCGGCGCGGTCGGCCGGCCGGCTCTTGGCGTCACTGAACACACACTGCTATCTGCGCCCGCCACGGCCCTCCTCCATCGCCGGCCGGCGATCGACAGACGAGCACGCCGCTCGCACGGCGCCGCCGACGCGCTGCACTGCTCTCGTCTCGGGCGCGCTGCTCTGGTCTGGCCCGCGCCGCTGCCGCGTCGAGCACCGACTGGCCGTCTGGCAGCTGCGTGCCACGCGGCCGTGCCGGTCGGCCGGCCCAAACCAAGCCAGGTGACGACCGGAGCCCAGGTGAGTTGAAAAACGGTCGCCACGGCGCGGGTTGGGGACGACGGTGAAAACAGGGCGCCTGGGGCGATTTGATCAAGGTTCGTGAAATTCACACGTGACGTTTAGCATGTAGAACGCCCACAGAGGGGGAGAAGTTCCAAATGTCACGTGACTATTATGCCCTCCGGCGCCCTGTTTTCACCGGCGTCCCGGGTTGGGCTGGCTGGGACTACAGGCGATACCTGGGTCGGCCGCCAGGCGGCGGTAGACGCCGGACGGAACCGGCCGGCCAGACGGTTCTGTCGCGATTCAGCACGGCTGGCTGGCACTGATACCGGTCTTCCGGAACGGCGCGGGGAGGGGAGGAAAGGGGCCGGACCGGAACGAAACCCTCACACCGCCTCCTGACGAACTACAGACTGAACACAGACTGGCACCGGTGGGCTACCACCGCCGGCACCGCCCGTCTCACGTCGACTCCAAGGGGCGACGCGTCGACGACACGCCGTATTGACCAGCGCCGTTCTGGACAGCCGTGCAACAGCAGCTTAACGGTTCAGAGGCTCAGTAGCGCACCACTGGCGCTTCGTGTAAGAACGGATCAGTAGCCGAGGGGCGGAGCCAAACAACGCTCCCTAGGCACAACAGGCGGCGATGTGATAAGGTCATGCAGTTCTCGTAAAAAAAGCTGAATCGGTTGGGACTGTACTACGTTTAGAACAGCCCATACTCCATGGGTTTACATCCACAAAATGTGCATAGGGAACTGGGAAACAATTTCTTTTAATACGAAAAAGTCACAACCGGGTAAAAATTCAGCTCAGGTAATAAAGGTAGGTAAGTAGGATCCTTCTTATTCAGCCTAGTAAAACCTGCTCTATATATAAAACATTATATCATGTCCCTAGGATCTATCACCAGGCAAAATGTCGCAAGCTCTTTTTTCCAGAAACTTGTCCAGCCAAGTAAGGAGGACGCATTATTGCCAGAGAGCAGTTCCAAGGTACTGGCAAATACGTGAATATACACAGCCGCTCGGGTACACAGAACAGCTAAACGGAAAGCGCCCCTTTACTGTGTTACAGATGTTCTATAGGATAGTGGAGATTTCTCATAATGACTACTCATACCCATTGCTCACATAGATCCAGCTTCATGTACACTATTACAAATCGCAAATGCAAAATTGTTCTGCTGTTCTTACCGCGTGTTCACAGCGTGTTTTAGGACGCGCGTAATAGCATATGTTATGCTATCTCCGTGAAGCAGAGCGAACTTTGAGCGAAAACACAAGCCTGTTGCATTTGTCGAGCCCGCCGAGAAACAGTCTCACGAATGGTCGTCTCATTCCACACACACACACACATCCATGTTCGACAACAGAGCGACGCGGCGCTCAGTCGCCAGATGAGATTACGGCTACGGTATGTAGCCAAATACGCTGTTCGCTAACAAACCAACACACTGGAAGGACGAGGCTCAAATAAGCGCTAATTCGGAAGGAATGCAAGACGTTTATGCCAGGGTCCATGAGGGTGTTTTGTACGTACATACAAAAAGACCTTGCCTTCATTTGAGCCTTTGCGGTAATAGTTAGTAAACCACTTCCTTCCCAATAAGGATGGTTGCTGGTAAGCCTTGCATACGCCTCAAGGGCTGATGCATTACGTTTGCTGTCATGACTTGAGACCGACGCCAAAGCTTTTGCCAACACGGCCCACGCTTGACTCCCGAATATACCGAGTAAGGACCGAACCGTGTTCTTCAGTCGAGGAGTCACTCACGGTACCGCAGTCAACCATATAAATGCACCGACGGGTTAAATACGGGCTTATACGGACTAAGCTGGCAGGCAGGAACATGAGTCATGGCTATGGTGTCCTAGAAATGCACTTCTAGTTCTTTGGGACATGTCAGTAGACTCTTTAGTGCCCTGAGTAGAACATACCAGAATTACAGTAAACATCTCTAACCGTTCATGCTGACTTGATCCGAAACGTTTTCATGCTTGAAGAGTGATGGCATATGCAGCTAAATATTTGCCTTTTTGGGTAAGTAACTGCACATGCATAGCATTCCTATGAAAGGTCAGTAACAACGAGACGATTACGACACAAGTTTCGTTTAAACGTACGTTTCTGCTCACGCTGTTCTCACATCACTGGACGTGGAACCATCCCGTTCTCTATCGTAAAAACAAGCGGCAGCAGCCGGTGAAAACATTCACTGAGAATGTCAACAAGCGGGTAGCAGGGCCATGTGGAGGGAAAGTAAAAGTGAGAGAAAGTGATGTGACTCTTGTGTCAAGGTCACTAAGACTGGACCCGGCGCCCCGTCGTGTTGACAGTGGAGAAAGATATCATAATTAAATCGGAATTACCAAGCGCGCAATGATTATCATGAATGATAGTGCGCGTAGTGCGCCACATGCATGTGATGTTTCTGGTTGTGACGGAGGATACTGGTACACCAAATCGGAAAACTGCTGTTCAATGGGGCGGAATCGATAGGCAAAAGGACAAAGTAGAGGGTATGTAGTAGCACTAGCGATCCATCCATTCATTCTTCCCGTTAACTACTGACAGTGATGTGGTTACAATGAGGATGCAGAGCTACCGTATATGAGAAACCCAATTGAGCGAAAAATTGGCGATGCAATCTTGGCAAATATGTCAGCAGACTGCCCACTTCGCTCGCTCAAATCAGGCCAGAACAGCCCATTCAGAAAGACAGCAACTCGCCAAGCCACAACCAGTTCTACCAAAGCATCTAAATCACATCAGCATCCCATCCTGCTGGTTGGATCACTCTGATGGTGCTCTTTAGAATGAAAACCGACAGGCTAAAAGCCAATAAAACATGCTTCAAACCAGCATGAAAGAACGCAATGTTGCGGAAGCACCACAAGTATAGAATCAGAGTTTATCATCAATCGGCTGGACAGTATCGAATCCCACCAACGCGAACAAGATACACTTCCATAGTCTTCCACCTGAAGACACCACAGACACCACTCAATCAATTGGCCATAGGCCGCCGTTCCGCCCGGAGGCTCAGTCTCCCCCGGGACGGCGGACGTCGTCCCACACGCTACCACCGTCATGGCGACAATCAATATAGCCCTGGACGTTCATTATTGGGCCGAGGTCGGGAGCCGGAAGGTCGGGAGACGGCAAGGCTCTGTCCCACCACGCTCTCCTTCAGACAGGGCCGGTCAGAAGACTCCTGCTCTCCAGTCGCACCAGGGCCGCGGAAGTAAGTGTCTCCTTAGGAGTCACGCTGACTCTTATGTCCTACCAGAGCCGGGACCGGTAGGGAGACAGGAAACTATTCCGTCCCAACAGGGACGCGGCCCATCTGTCCCCACCACGGGATAGGCATTGGAGATGCTGCCTCGGGGCCACTCGATCTGTCTCCATCAGAGACGGCAACAGGTGGACCGGCGGCGGCGGCGACGGCGGTCGAGGCCTCTCCGAATAGAGTACGTCACCGGTCGGAGACGATACATGAGGTGCACTGGTCCTTGGAAGCGACACGGGAGTTCACTGGCTGATGGAGGCGACACTGCAATACCTACATCCGTCAGAGACGGTACGTGTGGTCCATCGAGCGTCAGAGCTGATGCAAGGACTAGCTATGTGCATTGCGGATAACTGGGAAACCGATACCAAACCAAATACTAACAAAAGCCATGGGAAAGTGCCAAATACCGAGCCACACGCGGTCACATTCACAAGCGAGATTCCTATGTATCTCTCACACAATTGCAAGCGCCGACTGGCATCAGAAAGAGTCTTCCGCAATGTTCGGAGTTGTCAATTAGTTGGTATGCAGTGGAGCTCGACCCACTTGATCGAGAAGAATAAAAAGCGGAAAAACTATGCTGAAAAGTAACTTTCCTGTCATACCGTCAATTGCAAGATGAAAGCTCACAACCAGATTATCCAGCCCAGTACCAATTACAAAAGGCACGATCTCATGGGACTGAATTTCCCTAAACTGCGTGGTGGTTCATCAGCGTATCAATTCGGTATTTTTAATCACCTATTTATTACTAATGTATATCAAATGATGATTGAAATTGGCGGCCGGCTCTGATGTTCATGTGTGACGGACTGGTGACGAGGAACAGGCGTTATCTGATGACGGATGCCTTCCTTAGGGGAAGTTGGGGGAACGCCGAATACTTTTTTTCTGACGCTCGTAGCACGCAAGGTAGACAACATAAGCTATTCTTGTTGGCGTCATTCGAGAGGCCAGTCTTTTGCCTTTCAAACATACCAGGCGCATTTGATGAATTCGCATACCGTTAAGCGCACAAACTAAAAATATCAAAGAAGTGACTTTTTCGGCGTTGCCCCGGACTGCGGGGAAAGCCGAAAATGGGAGAAATGATCTACGGGGAATGCCGACATTGATGTTTTGCCACTTTATCTCAAACTTTATCCAGAATTTATCAAAGCTGACACGCGTTTTAAGAGCTTGAGGACGCTTGGTGCACACTGGAAGTTATAATTGTGTGATATAATAAGAAAATGGCAGGTAAATAATTCCTTATAGGTAACAGACCGTTGTGTCGGTTGAAAGTGTAATTTGTGTGACTAAAAATTCGCGTTGCTATTCTACAGCAGTAAAGTCCACGTAGCGTGCTTTAGCGTGCGTAATTGCACGTTTTCGGCATTACCCCAGCCAGCCATACTTTCATTTGCAGGCCCATAACTTTTCAACGTGCCGTATAAATTTCAAATAGGCAGCACACTTATGCAAAGACATGCTGAAGATTACTTGACCGAATTGGCCAGACAAACGGTAGCATAATGAGTAAGAAATGCAGCTTCAAAGGCGCATGTAGTACAAGGAACGCGTACCTTGAAAACGCTCTAGGCGCCCTCACAGCCGAAGTATTCCGAATGACGACTCGTAACAAACATGCGATAATTGTAGTCACTTAAAGGAAACAGTCCACTTTCCTGAAA